GGCAGTGAATTAATGGTGAAGGCTCCCGGGCTTTTTTGCAGATAAGCAATTGCAGCTGAAGAAAGGTGATTACACAAAAATCCCATCTCCCATATCTTTGGAAGGTGTGGAAGTTCTTCCATCACCAAAGCAACCGTTCAACCTCAGCACCAGAAGCACGGAGAAGCCTATGAAATCTGAGTAGAGGACTGAAATCCTTGAGTACTACCAAGTTCGGTTCTTTGGAGCGGCATGGCCAGGGACCTGTTGCTGGACAACGAGTGCCGGTGGCCTCACGGGCTGCTCCCCGGGCTCCAGTCGCTATGGGCAGAGGCTGAGTGACATGGAACAGCACGGGGAGTTTGCAGATGCTGCCAGGGTGAGAGCCTTGTGCTGCTCCACAGCCTGGAGGGAGAAGGGAGAAGGAACCTCACCCTTCGGAGACCTGCAGCACATTTCTGAAACACTTTTTCTATTTTTTGTGCATTTCTGTACTTTTTGTGCACAGAGAACCAGATTTAATTTGTCATCCCACAGTCATGCCGTATGAGGCAGATACAGTAAGAATTTAAGCTCCCTTGTATCAGGCCTTTTGCTTTAACCACAAGAACATCCATCTATGCTATATAAGAATTACCCAGACCATGAGAACTGCATGATACAATCTATAAGAAATATTTTTAATGATGTAGCATTTTTGAAAACAGATTATGCAAGGATACTTTTAAAAGGAATTATAGTGTAATTTGGGTGTAGGCTCTGCAGAAAGACAAATGCAATTTTCCTAACTGCCTCCTTTTTCACTGCTGTCAGGAAGTCTGCATGAAAACATATGATTTTACACCAATGACATCTGCATCTTGCTCTTTACCAGATATGACAGTCCGTATGCAACATGGCAATCTGGGAACTCTGGAGGGAATTACATCAGTAGTTTGTGTCAAATTTCTATTTTCCATTTCTTTTGGGAAGGATTAATTTAGCATCCAAATCAATATGACTGTGTAGTAGCATAAAACCTATCAGAAAAAGAATTACAAGTAAGGTCTTATCTCTGGTTCAAGGAACAGATGTAGGAAAAAAGACTGAAAATAGGAGCTCTCCCTACAGAATACAGTTGAACAGATACCAGTATCAATGGCTGAATGCTGAAACTACAGAATTACATGCTCTTTGTTAATTCAAACTTTTAACAATCGGAACATGGTGGTAAATAAAAGCAGCACATTCCTCGTCAGTTGGTATCTTTAAATTAAGGTAGGGTATCTGTGTAAAAGATTTACTTTATTTCAAGAACTCACTGTTGGCTCAGTATTAAGTACTGTCACGCCATGGAAGAGTAACTCTCACCAGTGCAGAAACCAGGAGGTCAATAAAGCACTCAGAAACAGATTTCTGTTCTCAGTTGTGCATCTATAGAATAATTAAATAGAACAAAAGAAAGACAAATAGGAATCCTACTTCAAAAATGGATCTTCTGTGAGATGTTTACTATGATGTCCAGGAAACTGTTATTCTGCAGCTTACAGGTGAGGAGTTCCAATAACAGACCTGTCAGTTTTTCTCTTAAAAGGGTGAGTTCAATCATTGTATATTCATGCATTAACTTGTATTTCTTTCTAACTTGATGATAAATGACAATGTATTTTCGGTAGTCTTTTCCATTGGACATTTGCTGACCTTTATCTGACTAGAATGAAAGAAAAGTCCAATGTCAACTTTAACCTTTCTATCCAAACATACCAATAGGAACGAATACATGTAAAGCAAATCTGAATGTACAACGAGTTAATCTTGGGCTTTTGCAGACTAACTTTGTACTGCAGTTCTACTTAAATCTGCTCAAAGGAGCAACTAAGATACAGGAACAGGTCCACTCCAATACCCAGAGACAACCTGCCTTCACAGAGCAGATAAAATGAATTGCTCTTTCCTGGCACGCCTGCGATCCGCTATTATGCCACACATCCCTGCCCTCAGTCTCCTAGAATAGTTTTGCAAAGTGAGGCCACCCACAGAATACACTACAGCAGTAAGTTCAGAGCACACACACCACGTGTCTGGTACAAAGCTTCACCCTGGTGCTATACTAAGGGGCCGGGGGAGAGTTTTGCGATGTAACACGTTGCGTACTTCATCCTTCCAGCACACTTCTGCTGAATACTACTGAAAGCTACCACCAAGTGTGCCTTACTCGCTGATGGCTTCCAAACCTGTCTGACAACAGGTTTTATCTTATCCCTACAGGGTATTACCTGTATTAGCCAAGTACTTTGCTAATTTTACTGTTCTTAAGTACTATTAATAAATCTTATCATGGAGACTGATGAAGAATTACAGATAATGTGGCTTGCCAATGACTTCCCACATCCCATCATGGGAGTACCTGAAATAGCCAGCAAAACATCTCAGTTACAACATGGGACCAGGTCAGTTATAGATTTCCTGCAGCTGTAGCTGGCACAATTCCCACCAGGCAGTATTTTAAGGCCTCCTCCTCTCTTGGCAGATTCTTCTGAGGACAAACAAGAGCCAAAGCACCGCTCATCTATTCCGAGAAGTGGACCCCTTTGGAGGATAGCAGCGCCTGATACTGCCCGTGAAAATTAATCTAACAGTCTTTCAACAGAGCTTCTCCAAGGCAAACAGTCCACTCGTGCTAAGATTGGGATTTAAATGAGGCGTCTACACAAGGCAGCAAGGAGTATGCGATAGAGAAGGCAAACTGTTTTACCAATGGTGAGGCTAAGATTTGAATGTTTCAGGTTCTCCCAGTAACCTTATTTTTAATGAAAAATGAAAAATTGTAGAAGTTGCAGAAAAGAGTTCCCCAAATTCTTAAGGTTTAGGTAAAATGCATCACACTGAATCAACTTTTCACTTCATCAAAATGCAAGTTAGGAAACAATGCAATTAAAAGTACAGATAAACTCATGGGAGCCAGTACCAGGTGTAAAAGGACTTTAATTTCCCTGGAGAAAGCCTCTAAAACATCCAGAAGGTGTTAGTGACACAACGTAGAAATTCTGGCCAATGCCTGAATAATGGAAATGATTGACTGTTGTCCAAGCTACCAAAGGAAATGGGGGAATTTCCATTATTTGGTATTTCCCTGTCAAAACTCGGTGCCAAGCTGGAAGTCATGTCTTAGCCAAACAGAGCTTATGCCTTAGCTAAAAGTCAAACAGGATATACAGGGAGGTCAAACCAAATCCACTCACGCCTTCTACCCTTAAATACTATGATTGTAAGGACAGAAGCAGGTTTCCTCCCCCTTCCTCAGCCCTTAAGGAAAACAAGTCTTTTAATCTATTTAGAGGCCCTTTTTGACATTCTTTAGCTGCAGTTTTTCTCAATCAACCTAATCTTTTCCCATCAAGCTCCATGCTAATCCCATTTTGCCCCACTCCTTAAACTAATAAAAGATTAGAGTGACATTTCAGAAAGGGCACCGTATTAAGCAGCTTCTCTCCCATCTCAACAGATCACACAGTACAAAATGTAGTGAACAGGCCATTAATCTTATGGTAATGAGGTGTCAGTCTGAATGGAGACCTCCTCCTTGAGCGATATGAAGGGCGCAGGAATAATGAGGACACTGCCGCTTGCCATCTCTGGCAACTTTGCCAGAAGGCAGCAGATCCATAAAGTGTTGTTGTGATGGTGGCAACAGCTCTTGTCACCACACCGCTCTGCCCTTGACAACGGAGAGCAAGCATCCACACCAATCCGTCACCCCCTATGCTGCCCACACATAATGAGCTTTTCCCTATGTTCTAATTAGTGGCGTAAAACTGTTTAACAACTTCAGCTTTGCTCTAACATGAAATCAATTAGGATTAGCAGCCACACACAGAGAAATTTTTCACACCTATCTAGCTGGTGAAAATCACTAACAAACTACTTTCTTCATTCCTACAGTGGACAAGTCATTGCTCTTCCTGGTGACATCCCTGCATTGGTATTATCCAAATTTGCTTTTATACAGAAATAATTTTCTCATTTGCTTAAACAAGTCATCATTCCCCTTAAAGAAAGCCCTGCACAGCTACCATACTTCTGAAAGGCTCAGGTTTTATCAAGTGCTGAGAAAACTTTCCAGAAGAAGTACAAGGCCCGTCCTGGCTAGTGATACTTGGTGGCATCCTTTCACTTGCTCTAATAGGATGCTCTTCCTTAAAGAGCAAGGTGGGCTGGGAAATCCGGCTCTTCTGTGTACACAATGCCATGAGACCGCACTGAACCCAAAAGGGCTCCATGTGGTCACAACTGCATGTTTACACAGAACAAACTGGAGCAACAGGGCTTAAAAATAATGAGAAGGGTGTTAACCTCGGGAGAGAGCTGCTAAAGGAACAGTGGAAGACATGAGCAGCACATCGCTCATTCCTAGGGGAACGCCTCTGTGCATAGGTTTCACTTGTACATTTGCTTTTCTTTCTTGTGACTAATGAATAAAAACTGTGGGTTTGGTATCCCCGAAAGTCAAGTGTCTGAAGGTCAAATTGTCCTACAATTTACTGTTGTAATTTGTGCTTTTTCATGGTTTGTGTAGTTACTACTGATATAGGTAAGAGTCCTTCCAAAAATATTCACCCTGTACAGGAATTCAGCCCTTCTCCTCCTATTTGACACAGTCTAATCCTGCAGTCGCACAGTCACTGTTCTGTCTTGGTACAGTAAATTAATGCGAAATATCAACATCAAAGAAAGTGATTATTTGGAACTATTTCAGGGACAACATTCACCAGAAACTAAATCTTTACAGTAGATGAGAAAACACAACATTTTTCTGCAATCACAGTAGGACACAGTATCACTGGTATTGCCAATAAATGCCAATTTTTAACCACTCAGCCTCTAGCTAAGTCTTTATTCTGATTTTCTTATCTAATTACATACATGAAAGAGATACAGTGAAGTAAAATAAAAGGTTCTTCTCCCATGCACATTTCTTAGAAAAATCCTACCCCTCCATGTTTTTTGGAAATCAACTGTCTTGATAAAGCTTAGCTATTTACCTGTATACTGTGGTAGGTGGAGAATTCAGTGTGTCGTAGATGAGCCTCACGTGTCCTTGGTACAACTCCAGAGCCAAAGGATCATTGTCTCCTTTGTATAATAAGATGCCATTGTCCTTGTCCGTTGCTACCTGTGAAACATGAATAACCAGGTAAGGTTGCTTGAGAATGATTAAAAAAGAAATAAACCTATATTAAAAATCAAACCAAAATCATATATGCAATTCAAATATGATTTAATAAATCATATATATGAGCAAAAACGAGAGCAAGAGACACAAAAAGGTCTTGGTGACATTGGGTGGGCTCACACACAAACAGGTCAGCCTCCCACTAAGGGATGGCTCCCTTGTTTCAAATGAGAACTAGTTTTCAGGAGGTGAAAGCTGTGATTTATTTGATGTCTGCCAATAAACTATGGCTGTATTTTTGGCGACACATGAATTTATTTCTCAGCTACTACCCCAGCTTGAAGTGGAGGTTTAGAAAATCAACTCTGGCAGTAGGAGGAGTGTGTCACAATTACAAGCAAACAAATCTCCGCAGGCGCTGATCTGTTCACAGACTTTTTATGAACAAAAAGAAGGAAGGAAGGACCTGTCCCCACATCTAGCATAACCGTGAGTTATTCCCTCAATCCGAGTTATTGGCAAGTCATGGTGAGTTCAAATGGGACATTTAGAGAGTCAGGAGGACTAGAGTAGCCCTCGTCCCTCTAGCTTTGACATACATCAGGGAAAAAAAAAAATCTTGAACACTGAGTCAAAAAACAAGGACTGCACTTTCCCTGTCTCCAGCTCTCAGATATCCCTATAGTACAAAAGAAAAAAAAAATAGAAGAAGAAACAAAATGGGATTTTTGGATACAACCTGCCTGTCATTTTCACAGTACATATTTCTTGAGATTTCTTGCTTATTTTTTCACAATGGCTGTTAAATGCCAAAACTAAACAGTACATTTAAAAATCTGTTTGCATTTATATATATATTTCAATAATATTCTTTTGCCTTTAAAAGATTTTTTTTCTTGAACACTTTTTAATAAGATTTTCTCTATCTGTTCTTAATAATCAATGTTGTATTCTAATTTTAATTCACCAGTGATTAATCACTGGATGCAAGAATAATATTCAGCCTGGGAAACAAGAAGTGAGAAAGTCATCTGCATGTGCTTTCTGTAATAATCAGTTTTATTCTTCAAGCTATGGCTGATGTAACGTGTTTTGTACACTTAAGAAGACAATGTCCAGATTTTCAGCTTTAAAGTTGACCTATAGTATTTGGAGCTTTTAGGAGCCATATTTTAGAGTGCCCATATTTTAGAATCTCTTTTGTGACATTAAATAAAAGGGAATTTTGAAGAAAAACTGGAGTTTCAAATATACATTAATCAGCTTCATTTTCATATGAACTGTATACTCAAGCTATTGAGAAGTTATATATGAATTATGGAATTTTCTCATTAGAATAAACTTTGCAGGAACCACCCTTTAAAAATCTATTCCTAATGTGGAAATTCGGTCCTTTTTCCCATGTCTTGACATTGGTATTTTAATTACAACCAAACTCCATCAAGTAAGTCTAGAATATGATTTCCAACTGTGGAACACAATCTCTTCAAATTGAGAAAATAAATGCAGTAAAATAAACATACAGGGATGATTTTTCTTCTCACATCTTTTGAAATGTTATACTTCATTTGCAGGTATAGAAATCGTCCAGATTAACAATCAGTGGCCTAAGAAAGAGTGTGTGTCACATCATACATGTGCTCCATGCATCTCATTAGAAAACGTACAAAGCTAGAAATTATTCCCTCATTTACTTTGGGATATTAGGGGAAAAACAGATCACTTTAATGCCTACTAGATTGGGAGAGCAAATAACTTCCAAATCACTTAAATATCATATTGGTCTAAGTATCCAAAATACCTTTGATCCACAGCCACAAAGATGACAGTAGTGGCATGGCACCTTTAATATTTATTTTCCATTGCCTTCTGAGCCTTAGACCTCAAACCAAATTTAGGTGTAACAACAGGACCGTAACAAAATCCCAGGCCTTTTATCTACTGAACGTGCACAGTAAAAGAGTAAGCAAAATATTGCCTGGAAAGGCCATTTAGAGCAGCCTCTTTCAATAAGTCTCCTAACATTAAGCACTAATTTCTACAGGATGAAACACAATGCTGTAAATCAGTAAGACGACAAGGAGGTTTGCTGAATCATCTCTAGTTACATTGCCAGGCTGGGAATAAGAGCGGTGAGGTTCTGGAGGCAGGATATGTGTCCACAAAGGTACAGTGGTACATTAGTTGCTCCTTAATGTTTCAATAATTTTAGAGCAGACAAGTGGCTCACAAGTTGTCTCTAACTTTGCCAGCATCTTGGCCAATAGACCCTGTTCCTTCAGAATAAAAAAATATATACGTGTATATGTATCATTGCTTAGAAGAGCACTGGGCTGGCAACTGATGTTCTACGTGACATACCTGGAGGGATATATTTGCCTGAGGGCGAATTTTGGCTGACGGCAGCTCCACATAGGAATCCTTCCCAACAAAGTTGACTGTGATGAGCTTCTCGCACTTCTGCCCAGCAAAGCCAGCGAGGCAGCGGCAGACGGGCTCATGGTGCGCGACGATGCACTGGGCCCCATTCTGGCACTCGTAGTTATCGCATGGGCTCGTCTGGAGCAGAACCATCGGCGGAGGAGTTTCACAGAAAAGTCCACTGTAGAAGGTAAAAGAAAGGAGAAGCGGCCTCAATTATCACCATTTTTTTAAGGAAGGAAGCACTCTCCGATGCTGATGTTACACTACTACTGTGGTATAGCAACTCTGAGATTCAGCTACCATGTGCTCACTTTACTGTGTGAAAGCTGTACAGCATAGTGCTGTATGGAAATTCCCACACTCGGGCTGAACAAGCCAGTTCAAATACAGAAAGCAATTTGTACTGCACTTTGCACTGGTTATTTAGCTCCGCAATGTACAGCAGTCTGTCTAAAATAGCTTTCATCCCACATTGTGCCGTGCAGACGTTCCCAGCAAAAACTGGGAGCCATTTAAGCCCAAACCTGAGATTTCCTCACCTGCTCTCCCTGCCATCCAGAAACATGCACCACTCCTCAGCCAAAAATCCCCATCCTAGGCTTTGTGACTTGAGACTACCTCTGCTGGTGGTAAGCAAGGGGAAAATCCTCTATTTTTAGTGGTTTTTACAGGCTCCTCACTTGCTTTACTGTATATCAGCGAGTGTATCTGTCCTGGTTTCGGCAGGGATAGAGTTAATTTTCTCCCTAGTAGCTGGTACAGTGCTGTATTTTGGATTTAGGGTGAGAACAATGCTGATAACACACCGATGTTTTAGTTGTTGCTAGGTAATGCTTACACTAGCCAAGGACTTTTCAGTTTCCCATGCTCTACTGACTGAGAAGGCTGGAGGTGCACAAGAAGCTGGGAGGGGGCACAGCCAGGACAGCTGACCCAAACTGCCCAAAGGGATATCCCACACCATATGACGTCATGCTCAGCATGTAAAGCTGGGGGAAGAAGAAGGAAGGGGGGGATGTTCGGAGTGATGGCGTTTGTCTTCCCAAGT